TTTTACACCTAATGTTCAGAAACAGCACTCAATACTACTTGGAAAGCTTGTCAGAAAAAAAAAAAGCTAAAATCTGCTATGAAAGGAAAAAATTTCCCATAGATTACGACTGCACAGTGTGAACTGGAAATTGTGGAATGGGAAGTCATAATTAGGGACTAGATATCCATAACATGTAGTAATTGCAACTACTGGGTAAAATGCAAACACCAAGTACAGTCAGTATTTCTTAATAGCACTCCGAAGCTAAATAAAGTTACCTTGCACTGATAGGAAAATGTCATCTTCTTTACTGGTGTATAAGCAGTTTAAATTCTAATGCAAATGTGTATAACATAGGTATTACTGATGGCTCTCCAAAGGTAGCAATCTTCTAGCTTCTGTGATACATCATTAACAGAGAAGCTAAGCAGGAGATGGGATCTCAACTTGTTGAAAATTGTGATCCTCCAACAGGTGGCTCCAAAACTTGCCTGTGGTTACATTCTTGCCAAAGATACACTGTTTAGCCAGCTCAGCCTTGTGTTGATTTTAATCTAGTAGCATAATACAATGAGGTAATAAAGCTTAGTACTACACCTGTGCTACAGAAATACAATTATTTAATAACATGACACAGTCATTTGGGACTGATGAAGTTTTTCACAAAGTATTAATTTCTTACATACAGAGGCTATTTTAATTTGAAACTTTAGAAGCACTCATAAACAGTCACAACTGTTAAAAAGGGAAAGATTTAAAAGGAAAACAGGCAATAGTTATTCAAAAGACAAGCAATTATTTAGAGAACATTCTTTGAATAGGCTTTTGCTAACCTATTTTTCTATGTGTCGCACATTAGCTTGCTTGGCCTTTAATTTTATTTTTTTAAAAAAAAAACTTTTTTTTTCTTTTATAAAATACTAGTAGAAGAATGAAAGGCTGTAAAGATAGTCTGCCACATAAGAAGTCATGACATCCATGAGACAATAATTAGCAGCCTCTGCAGGAGATAGGAAACTAGCAAAAAAGGCATCATATTTCTAGACAGTGAATCTGCCATTGTACAATTATTCTACTCTTTAAGATACTCTACATTCTAAGAGTAGGTAGAAAGAGCTACAGCGAAAGCTTCCACTGCTTCTCAACAGGAAGCATCTCAAAAATCCCAACCCTGTCTACTTCTGTTACTTTTAAAGCTTTGTTCAACTTTTATTTTTCAGACTAAGCTTTTATTCTGGGCATCTGCCACAATCTGTTTTGAAAGAAATAATTGATAAAATGGGTCAACACAAAACATGTAAGTTTTCTCATAAGTTCTTAAAACAGATTTAAAGTTTCTATCCTTTGGGCTATGACTTCAAATTCGACAAGAAGGTCAGAGATACTTCAGCAATATGCCATTTCCAGTCATCATTAAAATCTGCCCAAAATCTGATCAAGCCATAAGCCTCTGAAAACTGGACACCATCCTCAGCATAAATGTGATGACAGCTGCTAGTTCTCTGAAGATTTATGCTTATTTTGGGTAGTTGTTAGTCCTTCATGTTTGCTATACACTAACAAAGAAGTAAACATCACGTCCACAAAGCATAATCTACACCAGAAATACAAGTGCTAAGAATTTAATTTAAACTGGCTTCCAAGAGCCATTACAATACTAGCCCAAGAAACTAAGAGCTGTGAAAGTTGTCTTCACTCTCAATGCATTGCCTAATTGCAGTCAGTGTGGAAGAGAAAGAAATAGAATCCAACGAGAAATGTAAAAGAGGTTGTGTACAATTATTTAATGGGGTAAGGGAGAAACCCACACTGAAGCCTGGAGTATCTTGGAAGAAAGAAAAAAAACAGATCTCTTGTGTGTCACTGAGAAAACAAGACACAAGATTTGGATACACAGTTGTAAGACAGGGAAAACTAGAGGCGACCACCGGGCATGAGTAATAAAGATGAGAACATAATCAGAGTGTGCAACTGCAAACATTTCAAGACAGCAGAGACTTCAGCATTAGCCATGTTAAATTAAATTCACTGGAGGCCATCCAGAAAAGGAGATCAGAGTGAGAAAATAGGACTTTTAAATAATCTGTTTATATTCATCTCAAGCCACGAGCAACAGATCATAGAGTGAACAAAACTTACTGAATTTTTTTCATAAACTGTAACCCAACATCTTCAAAAAACAAAGTCTGTGAGACCACACTTAAGCAAAAAGGGAATGATGGACTTTATTCAACATAAAAAAAATAGTAAGGTAAAGCTCAGAAATACACGGGATCAGTCACAAAAGGGGAAAAGGAAAGATTCAAGGAAAGACTTCAGTGAAAAAAAAAGGTTAGCAATTCTGAAAAAAAACCAAAAAACAAACCAACCCATGCTAAAGGAGTGACCTAAGAGACTGTATAAGAACCAGACTAAGACAAAAATCAAAACAGCCAAATAAGTAACATAAAGGCACAAGCAAGCACCAGGGCTGAATGTAGCAGGGAGGAAGGACAACTAGGTGGCAGACAAACCTGGCTGGGACCAGGACAGGGTTACAGGAGCTTTGTTGATGGCAGTTTCAGCTGAGTGAAAAGGACACCAGCCAAACTGGAGGCAATCCAGGATGGAACTGGAGGCAGATCTGATTAACTCAGACATGAAGGAAGAATATGGGACTGGCTGTGCTCCCAATTTTGGAGTAAGGGCAAAGATGATATATCTCCTAATTCTAGATGGGTGAAATTTATGTATTACTTAAGACTAGTTTAATTTCTCTGTCTTGGAAATTAACAGTTAGAGCAACAGTAAAGTCCTGTTCTAATGAATTTAAAAAAAAAAAAAAAAAGAAAGAAAGAAAAAGAAAAAGAAAAAGAAAAAGAAAAAACCTAAATAGGAAAAACAGCAAAGTACAGACATGGAGAGAGATGCAAGAGGTGACAAGAATCAAAGATTTTTCATGTGCTTTTTAAAGTAATATACAGTATCACTATAAGTTTTCTCACATTAATTGTTAATTTTTTCCATCTCCTTATGTAACTATTAGCATTTATTTTCTGTAAGATATTTTATTTACTCACTCTAAGAAGCAAAATCAGCTAAGAGAAGTCAAATTTTGAAGTTTGCAGCAACTAGAGTTTATATTGCAGATTCTAAACATTTTCTCCCTTGTAGGGCATGTAATGAATAAACAGGTAGGCATCACTGTACTGCAGTTACCAAGGCTGAAGTAGAGATAAATTCTCAAACTCAATAGCAGCAGCTCTCACCTTTATGACATGTGAAATTCAGTTGTTGAGATCCTAGTGCTCAACACAGATGTATGCTCCTTTGAAGTAGGATGCACTACTACTTGCATACACATACACGGGGCTTTACACCACTTCTGACATGACAGGAGCATGATCTATTTAGGGGGCTTATACAGAAAAACAGCAACAGGGGATTTGTGGTTTATTGATAGTCCAATTCAAATCAAGATCTCTGCTAAGCCAGCAACATCTTAAATCACTGACTTTGAGACACTGTTCACATGGCACTAGGGTAGGCTACTGTTTCTTTTTGGAAAGTCCATCCTGTTAGATGTGGCCAATGAAAGATAACTAGAGTAATTCTCTTACTCAGACAAAGCATGGTATACCTGTTAACAAAAGAGCTGCTTCTGCTTCTTTCCAAACTTTTAATCTGTTTACAAGTGAGGAGAAACTTAAAAGAAATAAAAATTGTGTTCAATACTCTAAAAAAGAAGAAATTAGCTGAATATATGGTAAAATCAGGAGAACTGAAAACATTGCCAGACTGCTTTAAACCACCTGAAAAATAAGAAATGTGTCTTTTCCAGTAAAAATCACACTCCATCTGAAAGTATTGAAAGTTGCACTCCATTTTTCAATTAATTTCAAAAAACAGTTTGAAATTATTTTTTAAAAAAACATAAAGGTTGAATATTTTTAGTGTCCATGAACTTTTTTGCAGATAAGCTAGGTTTTCTAGGAAAGCTTGTTTGTTTTAAGAATTCATCAAATAAATTTATTCTACCCATTTTCCCTTCACTAGTTCTAAACTTATTCTTAGTTCTTAAGCTATTTTTTAGAAAACATGAGAAAGATTTAAAGAATTAAAAAGACTCATTTTCTCTCATATCTATGCCAACCATTTTTCTAGTATTTCTAACCAAGGTTCAGCTTAATGTGTAGAATAGGGATGATCCTAACTATACCAGTAAGGTATTAAGTAGATTAGTTAATATTTGTACATTATTTTGAAGTTAATTAGTGAAGAGAAAAACCCTGATTATCTTCAGTCACATAAACCAGTACAAAGTACCACCAAAGATAAAATTTAATGGCAAGGATCATGAAAATAAGTTCAATGTAAAACTTTATGATTTGTAGAGTATCATAGAATAGAAAGACATCCTAATGTTGAATTCATTATCCAAGAGGAAGGAAAAGTATGTTAGATGATGTCTACATCACAGTTTTGTAACTGTATGCAAACATCATCAATAACAGTGCTCCAGCCAGATAGCCTGAAGACACAAATAACACTGTAGCTGGAATGCCAGCAAATTTGCACTGACCCATGCACTATTTTGTATCAAAAGTCTTCTCAGAAGGAAAAAGATTTTCTAGCATAGACATCCCATTTGGGTTCTCTAAAGTTTTGTGACACTGTTTCTTTTGTTCCTTTAAGTTACGTTTTGGGCAAAGCAGCTATTGGATTGAAAACGTTGATAGTGCTCTAGAGCGCTCTGATTCAAAGAAAAAGACTTAATGAAAACAACAGATAAAGAACAGTATAGCAGACTAATATACAAGTTAAAGTGTTAAGAAATCATGTTATGGGAGAACATTTAAAACTTACACTTACTTGAACACAAAAGCATACTCATTTGAGCTCAGAAAAATAGCTGCCCATTCCCATAAGGGTAATTTTCATCAAAAGGACTAACAGAACTCTTTTGGGACTGATAAGCCGTTGATAAATCATGTCCTTCTTGGCAAAACAGACAAAAGATAACTTTTTTCAGTACTTACATCAAAGGTGGGTGTGCTTTGCTGGGCACTCTGATTACATGGTTCTCTGAAGCAGTCAGTGAATGGAAGCAAAAGACCCATTGCAATAATGCGAGAACATAGTTTTTCTGCTTCTTCTTGTGGTGCATTTTCCTGCTGGCTGAAGAGCTTTTCCAGCAGAGTTCGTCCTGCCAAGGTGATGACACAGATCAATAAGAATTTGTAGCTATCTACAGCACACAAAGATTAAGGCATTACAATGTGTAGTGAAAATCTCAACTATTAGAGGTAAAAAAAAAAAAAAAAAAAAAAAAAAGAATTCTTGAGGAAAGTATCTGATAATAAGCCTTTCATATAAAATGCTTCTATATAATAATTTGAAATTATCTGTAACCTGATTAATTAGGACATTCGAGAAAATGTACATTGTATTGGCTGCACTGCAGAGTAGGAACAAAACCCATGAGATGCTATTGTAGCACCAATTTCCTATTTATTTATATTATACAATTGTCCTGATGGGAAAACCCAGATATTACCAAGAAATGAAGTAACTTTTTCCAAGGGTGTCGCACAAAGTTATTATAGAATCAAGACTCCCAACTCTTGGAATGAGCCTTTGTTTTTTGAGTCATAAAATGATCATAGTCTTTAAGAAATTGCTCCAGTTCTTTGGAGAAACTTTCAATAAAAGAATAACAACATCCCCCCCCCCCCCCCCGATAACTATTCTGTTTAAAATTGTATTTAATACAGCTCCACAGCAGCAGAGTGCTCCAAATTGAAAAGCAGTGCCACAAGCAGCAATTCAGAGAAGTAAAACTTTTGAAGAGAAAAGAGACTTTCTCCTATTACAGGGCCAGAATTCATGATGAAAGCATTTTCTTTGTTATCTCACCAGAGCATGAAAGGAGGGCATATGTTATAAAGTATATTACAGGAGACAATGCTAGAGGTTTGAAAGACCTTTGTGCTGTGTGCAGTTACCCAAAAAGAGGCTACAAAAAATAAGTCATATTCACAGGCTGTAGTAAAATCTATATTGTAAGAATATTAAATTGCTTGATTAAGCTCTAAAATGTCAAAAGATGCCAGAGTTCAGATTTACAGGATATAAATAAAGAGACGAAATAGATCTACTGGAAAAGGCAACTGAATAATAAAGTTAATTTCATGTTTTAGTATGAACTAGCTGTGAATACAGTTTGTACCTAAATCAGTTTCTATAGTCTGTTTTTTCCACCCGCTCACTGGAAGCCAAAGGTATTTTCCAGAAAAAATATACTGCATTAAGAAAGCATTTTAGTGTCATTTAAAGTAGTAATAAAAATAATAACGATAATACCACTGTTTTTAACATACAAATTCATTATTTCTGTTTGAATGTTAATTTTATTCAAAATGTAAAAATTCCCAGGCTTTCTGAACACACTAAAAAGATTTTTTTTCTTCTAAACATCTGGATGCAATTTAAAAAAGGATGTTGTAAGTGACATTTAGCCCAAAGTTTCTGTATTATTTTAACTTCATGTGGCAATACAGCCTAAAATAAACAATACATTAAAATGTTAGAAGTTATTTCTAAGATTTTCCTCTCCACATATAAAGATCTGGTAATTCTGAATTATTTGTTTCCTAGCCTTTTATTAGACACAATACAGTACATTCAAGGGGATAATCTAGGGGATAAACTTATACACAAGTTTTGTTATGTTTGCTGATTAGTTTGCCTCTGTTCCTTGGTTTCACCACCTATAAGGTGATGATAACATACTTGTTTATTCAACATATGCCTCTATTTAGCTAAAGATACAGTTCAGTTCTTAAATCTTCAAAGTCATTAATTAACTGAAGACAGGCTTTCTTACTGAGTGATATGCACTGTGATTTTTAACAATTTACCCACAGTTGCAGCAATGTAC